TATATATATATATATATATATATATTATAATTTAACTGATTTAAAATATGTTTTTTCGCTACACAGTAGTAACCATGGTTCAGAAACTGAATCTAAATCTTCAAATTTGATTATATAATTAAATTAATTAAATTAAAAGCATTAGTTCTCTTTATTTTCAAGCGAATATTGGAATAACTTATTTTTAAATTTACTTAGTTTTAAACCCACATATAAATTCATAATTTCCTATTTCCAAGGATACACAGAAGTCCAATCATTCAGACAGGGGCGGAAGCGTGTTCATTTTTATTAACTAACGTTGTATCAATTATGAGTTACGTTCGAAAAAGGGGTTAAGTTTAGGTAGGGTAAGGGTGTATTTTTCAACAAAAATTCTGACATCCGGCAAATGCATGTCGTCTGGTTTTTTTTTATCGTTTTTTTTTATTAACGACAAAAAGTTTTTCGGCATTTTTTCTTACTTGTATATTTAAAGATTCTTTCTAGGGGTGTTTGGGTTAGAATACGTTTTATTTAACTACAATTATAAAATATTTTTGCTCTTAATTACTTTTTAAAACAAGTAAATATAATAGAATTACTTGAATTATTTAAAATTATTTTTTCATATCAAATATAAGTAGTATATTACCAGCTCCCATTTTTTTAATTTTATTTTTAAATATTATTTAAGGAAAAATTTTAACAATGACCGCAAAAAACAGCTATTTCATTTCTCTGATTCAGTAAATTTTTATTTTTTATAAACTTAGTAATATATAGTTTCTCATGTATGCACAAAGAACATGGGTCATTTAATGACCTACATATTCTAGCTTTTCTTATTAATTTCCATTTTACTGTAGGTGTTTTATTTGATTCTTTTAAGTGTCAGAAATATTTTGAAAGGAATGTCTGATTTCTCTTACTGTACTTTCTTTATATATATATATATATATATATATATATATATATATATATATATATATATATATATGTATATGTTACCAATTTGTGATTGGTAGGGATAATTACAAGGAGGGCATTAATCCAATGAGAGCTCAATGTAAGTTACAGAGCAATATATAATTATAAATTAAGAAAACACCTTCAAATGTATAGCGGTTATAATCTATTTCATGAATATTGTTATATTCCTCTCTTCTGACCAAAATGTTAAAAAAAAACCTTTGGTAAGTGCCTAAAAAGCATACCACGGTTTTGAGTGAAATTGGATGCCGTTAATAGCTATGCTAGAAGGAAGTCACAAGTCATCGTGACCGAGGGTTTTAGTGTGATTGACTTGTTCATATTGATGATCACGCTAAATAATACGCTCTTTCCCAGAAACAGTAACAAAGGTCTGCTGAGCATAGTTGCATCATAAAACTAAGCTGGGCTCTGTGGATGTTGAATAAACACAAATGTGCCCGAGCAAGCGTCTGCAATAGGGATAGGCTAGCCGTCCTAGTAGACGAGTATCCTTGAATACAAGTGGCCAGCTATTATATATATATGTGTGTGTGTGTGTGTGTGTGTGTGTATGTATGTATGTGTGTGTGAACATTGAAGTCAAGACTCAGAGTCAACAGGCTGTTTCATGCTGCCTGACGATTGCATCTAGCATGAAACAGCCTCTCGCCTCTGAGTGTTGACTTCAATGTTCACTTTTATATTTACATGCGCTCTATATCTGATATTGAGCACTTTATCTCATAAATATACCACACCTTAAGAGTATATTTCTTCATATATATATATATATATATATATATATATATATGTATGTATGTATGTACGTATATATAAATTAAAAGAAAGAACAGAACAGTAAGATTATATATAATCCAGACGACATGCATTTAACGGATGTCAGATTTCATTGAAAAATACATCCCTAACCCAACCAAAACGTAACTAATAACTGATACATCAAAATACAGTGATAATGAACACGCAAACATCCCTTGTCTGGTTGAATTGGATTTCTCTGTATCCTTGGAAACGTAAATTATGATTTTTGCTGTGTCTTTAAAACCCAGTAATTTTAAAAGTTACTCCAAAATTCGCTTGAGGATGAAATGGAACTAATGTCTTTAATTTAATTACAAAATTAAATTCGTGGCTTTTAGCTTCCATTTAGAACTGTGTAGTGAAAAAAAAACATATTTTAAATCAATTAATTTATAATATCTATCTATCTATCTATCTATATATATATATATATATATATATATATATATATATATATATATATATATATATATATATATATATATATATATATATATATATATATATTGCCATAATACCATATAAATATATAGGGTCCCTGTAGTTGTTCTCTGATTAAGTTTGTCTCTGTGAAATAACAGATTAAGATATTTTTTCGAAAAGCATATAAATTATAATTCGAACTAAACTCCCAGATTTTTAATTCCGAGTCAATATCACCAACTACACATCGCACCAATTTTGCTGAAGAAGGGACATTTTAATACAATCCTAACCGAATATA